GGTAAGTTTCAAAGATGGAGTCTAGTAGATTCTCAAAGGGAGCTGGGATCTGGGCTGGTTTGCAGCATTCCCCTGCCACGTGGGACATAGAGTGAAGGTTTTCTAGAATGCCTAATAGAGTCCAAAGGGTATGAGGACATGAACTGTATTTGTGAGCTCTATCAACAATTCCCAATTCCCACCTTTGAAACCAATGTAAGCTGGGAGTAGGCGAGCTCAGGCAGAAAGGTAACATCCCTTGGAGGATATGGGTCAAAGCAGCCTCAAGATGCATAGTGTGAGTGTTACTGTAAAGGGTGAAGGTTGTGACTTTCAAATGCAAGGATGGGCACTAGAGGAGCGATGCTGCACACTGTTCATTATCTCTGCGTATACCTAGGTTGATCTAAGATATTTAAGACCAATGGGATGATGATATCCTTGTATGTCTGCAGACACTGAGAGAGGGACAGAGGAACACAGGAAGTCAGCCAACAAGATTAGAAACAGCTCTCTTGTTTCTATCCTAATGGAGATTAATCAACCAAAAAATGACTCATACACAATGGCAAGGAAAAAAAGCAAAGGATGTCACAAAGAGTTGGTTGAGAACTCATAAGTAAATAGGGGTCGAGCTTGAAGATGAAGTAGAGGACATATCTGAAGAAATATGTGAAATGTATCTTACTTCTGAACTTGAAGTTTCATAAATTAGCAATGGATCTGTCACATGTTGCAAGATGGAGGAAGAAGACAGGGGCTCTGATAAAAGTCACAGGGCAAATGCTGGATTCCCCACCCGCAGGGGCCTCACTGGCTCCGTGAACACAGACTGATTGTCATGCCTTTCTTCACCTGGTCTTATGAAATGCTCACAATGTGTCACAACGCTCTCAAGCCCTGCTTTTTGAGTAAGATTTACGTTGGCTTAATAAGCATTTTGGCTACAAAATAAGTTTGCAGAGCATACAGTGCCTAGCAGAGTATATTTAAAAGGTACAATATAGTCCCTCTTTTTAAAATAAGTTTTTTAAAGTTTATTTATTTTGAGAAAAAGAGAGAGAGAAAGAGAGAGAGAACCCAAGCAGGCTCCGCACCATCAGCACAGAGTTCCACGCAGGGCTCGAACCCATGAACTGTGAGATCACGACTTGAACTGAAATCAAGAGTTGGACACTTAACCAACTGAGCCACCCAGACGCCCCAATAATCTCTTAATATATGTGATTTTGGAAAAGGCTTTTAAACCATATTTGCCTTTTTTCTGGTGAGCACTGGGTGGAGCTCTTATCTAAATTAAGTAAAAGCATTGTCTAAGGGAAAGAGAAGGGAGCTACCTTAAAGAGTTTGGAATTTATATTTATTTAGTCCCGGTGGTACAAAAGACGTTCAACTTTTCACTAAAAACGAATAAATAGGTGTGTGGCTGCCTCAGCAGGTAGAGCATATGACTCTTGATCTCAGGGGGTAAGTTCAAGCCCCATGCTGGGTGTAAAGCTTAGTTAAAAAAACAAATAAATAAAAATGGGTCTTCCTTTTAAAAAAGTAAATAGATAAGTAACTTTTAAAAAAAAAAAAAGAGGAAGAAATACAGGAGCCAAAAATCCGTAAGAAAGATGTGAGAACCATGATACAGAGAGAGGATTTGTGAATGGAAAGCTGTCTTGTTAATAATAAATTCAGCAGACAGTTTAAGCTTAGCTAGGTTCTAAGGATTTCTTCATGTTCTAAAAACTTTGTTCCTAAGCAAGGTAAAGATCTCCTTGGTCTTCAGGCAGTTCCAGCCGGCCTAATCAACAACACTGGAAAAAAAAGTGGGGGGAGCGATCATTGTCTCACATCCACTGGGTTTATCTGTGGCTTTACTGGGGCGGGGTTGTTCTGGGAATCCTCCCGCAGTCAGATTACTTCTCTGCCTGGAGAAAGATACCATAGGTTTTCACTCATATGTGGATTCTGTGAAACTTAACAGAGAACCACGGGGGAGCGGAAGGGGGGGAAGTTACAGAGAGGGAGTGAGGCAAACCATAAGAGACTTAAATATTGAGAACAAACGAGGGTTGATGGGGGGTGGGGAAGAGGGGAAAGTGGGTGATGGGCATGGAGGAGGGCACCTGTTGGGATGAGCCCTGAGTGTTGTATGGAAACCAATCTGACAATAAATTATATTTAATATAGAAAAAAAAAAGATTACTTATCTGCCTGTGCCTAGGGTTAGTTCAATTTGAGGAGAAGTTGGGAGACCCATCTTGACCCTGGATTCAGACCTTGTTTTCCAATCAAGCTTCATCATTATTAAAATACTGGGCATATTTGACTAATCTAGAATAAATAAGTCAAAAAGCATACGTAAGTTGACAAAACTTACAGAAGAAAAAGAAAAGAAGAAGAAAAAAATTATTGGAAGAAAAATTCCAAGAAGAAAAAAATTATTGGAAAGTGATGTAATTAATTCAGAACCTTTGGGAACGTGGCCCAGGCATTAGCATTTTTAAAAGCTCTGTGGATGATTCTAATGTACAGCCAGACATGAGAAACAGTGATCTATACTCTACTGGATTTAGGGGATACCACTGCTCGTTAGCCCAGAGTTTCTCAAATTGGTGTGTACATAAGAATCATCTAGCAGGGCTCCTGGGTGGCTCAGGCGGTTAAGTGTCTGACTTCGGCTCAGGTCATGATCTCGCAGTTGATGGGTTCGAGGTCCACGTGGGACTCTCTGCTGACAGCTCAGAGCCTGGAGCCTGCTTTGGATTCTGTGTCTCCCTCTCTTTCTGCCTCCCCCCCACTCACACTCTATCTCTGTCTCTCTCAATCTCTCTCTCAAAAATAAACATTTAAAAAGAAGAAGAAGAAGAACCATCTAGGGATCTTGTTAAAATGCAGATTCTGACTCAGCGTGTCTGGGTTGAGGTCTGAGATTCCACATTTTTAGCAAGCTCCCAGGACATCCCTGGGTGGCTGGTGTGCAGACCACATTTTGGGAAGAAAGGCTTTCACCCACTGTTTTCCAAATGTTCAGTGTCATAAGCCTTGCCAGGGGAGCATGTTAACTCTACAGGTGCGCAGGGAACTCCCTGGAGATCCTGATTCACCAGGTCTAGGCATCTCTGTGTTGAAAGTTCCCCGGGTGATTCTCAAGGCCTGTGTGGTGGAGAAAGGCTGTCCTAACTTAATCTGGGTGGTTGATTGTGCACCAGGCCTTTGCTACTCTCACTAAAGCCTGAAAGTCCTTAAACTCTCTCTTAATAATTGTAAATGTGGGTTCATAAGCACCACACGATTTTTTTTTTAGTATTCATTACAGTTTGCCAGATTTTCCTTTTAAGTTTATTTATTTTTTAAGTAATTTCTACACCCAGTGTAGGCTCAAACTCACAAGCCCGAGATCAGGAGTTGCACACTCCTCCAACTGAGCCAGCCAGGCGCCCCCCAAAATTTTTGATGAACTGGTAGATAGTGCTCTCTAGTGTAATGGTCAGAAAACCAAAAGCGGTATGAAACAACAATTCGATTCCACTTTCTTAATTATGTTTGCATTGTTCCTGCTGACTTCCATGTTTCCAGATTCATCTGCTCTTTTTTTTTAAATTAAAAAAAATGTTCAATGTTTTTGAGAGAGAGACAGAGTGTGAGCAGGGGAGGGACAAAGAGAGGGAGACACAGAATCAGAAGCAGGCTCCAGGCTCTGAGCTGTCAGCACAGGGCCCGATGCAGGGCTCGAACTCCCAAACCGCGAGATCATGTGAGCCAAAGTCGGTTGCTTAACTGACTAAGCCACACAGGCACCCCTGGATTTACCTGCTCTTAAGAATTAGCTAGGGGTGCCTGGGTGGCTCAGTCAGCTGACCATCTGATTCAACTTCAGCTCAGCTCATGATCCCAGGTTTGTGGGATTGAGCCCTGTGTTCGGCTCTGCCATGGATGTGGAACCTGTTTGGGATTCTCTGTCTCTCTCTCTGTGTCTCTTCCTTTCCCCTGCTTGCTCTCTTTCTCTCTAAAAAGAAAAAAAAAAAGAACTAGCTGAAAAGTCAGTACCATTTGTTTCTTAAATACCTCTTTTATTTTTTTACGTGAAATTAAATTTTTTTAAATAAAAGAAAAAGCTTTTATTGTGTAAGCCATCGAACTTTTGGCATAATTTATTAGTCCTCCCTCCCATGCATTCATTTTAAAGCTGGGGTGCCCAAGGCTTCACTGATATACACACCCTGGGGGATCCTATCCCATCTTGTGACTTTCAATACCATCTACCCTCTGATAATTTGCAGACGTTGATCTCCAGCCCATGCCTCTCTTCTGAACCCCAGGCTGGTTGCCTGGTTAACCACTAAGCAGTTATCTGGTCAACAACTCCATCTGATGTTCCTGGACATTTCAAACTCCTCCTGCACAAAATGGGACACCTGGTTTCCCTCCCCAAACGTGCTTCTCCTGCAGTTGTCCCTGTTTGGGTTGAAGAGAACTTCATCCGCCCAATGGCATAGGACAACCCTCTCCTGCACCTTGAATCTGATGGGAATTTTTGTGTTCAGAATGTGTTCAACACGCAACCACTTCCCTCTTGTACAAATGCCACCACGCTGCCCTAAGCCTGTGACCTCTTTTTGGTTTTTGGAGGTTGCAGCAGCTTGCTAGCGGCTGGCTTCTGTTTCCTTCCTCACCTCTTCTTCTTTTCATTTCAAAGTTTCTTCCAACAACTTCAGCAGTCAGCAGTCACAGAAGCAACCATATCACAAAATAATGTATTCTCTCTTCCAATTTTTGTTTTAGAGAAAAAAAATTAGGATTTTAAAGAAAGCTGGAAGTGTTTAGGCAGGAGCTGCGACAAGGGCGCATAATACCACATAATACCACATATCACACTGATCAGTGTAAGCAAAGCCACATTATTCCCAGCTTCCTTTCTGCTGAGCCCTTCCAAGGAGACTGAAAGGAAAAGAGGACCACGTGACTGCAGGAAACACACAAGAAATATTTTATTAGCTTCCAGATGGAGAACAAGGTAGAGTAAAAATATTTCAATAGTATTCCGTGGCTCTCCTCAAAGAGCCCACTCGGGCACTCGTGGCCCCCCAGTCGTGGTAGCGCCTGTAGTCCCCCGGTCTCAGCAGGTACTGCCGCCCCCGGTAGTTGGGCATCTCGTAGAGGACCCAGTAGCCCTCCAGCACTTGGAAGGAGTGGATCTCACTGAAGTGGAAGCGGTCGTGAAGCGAGGAGCAGTCCTCGGTGATCTCTACCATCTGGCCCCTGTAGTCCTCTCGCTCATAAATCCTGATCCTGTGGGAGCTGGTCTGTGGGTTCAGCAATTAGCAGATGAGGAAAAGTCAGAAAATCTAGCCCTTAGCAACCAGGGACACAACCCCCAAGGGACTGGACGTTCCCTTCTCTTTTCTACATCAAAGATGACAAATTTTAAAGATAGCCAACACCAGGGCAGCTGTGTGCAACTGAATAGACTGTATACTGCAGACCTGAAGAAGGTGTCATTCGCGTAAAGAGACGCATGGTGCTCCCTAGAGCTAAGACCACAACCTATACGAACCATACATACTGGCCCTAGGTAGTATCATTCTTTTTTTTTTTTTAATGTTTATTTATTTCTGAAAGAGAGTGACAGAGCCTGAGTGGGGAAGGGGCAGAGAGAGAGACGGAGACACAGAATCCAAAGTAGACTTCAGACTCCGAGCTATCAGCACAGAGCCCGACACGGGGCTCGAACCCACTGACCTGAGCCGAAGTCGGATGCTCAACTGACTGAGCCACCTAGGCACCCTTAGTTAGTATCATTCTTAAGTAATAATTTATGTATATTTTATATATATCATATACATTTTAAATTTGTTTATTTTATATATTTATTAATTAAATTTATTATTCATATATTATAAATTTATATATTATATATCATTTATATATAAGTAATAATTTATATATCCTTATTTAAATAATTTTTTTTAAATGATCCCTGGAAAAAAAGTTATAATTTTGAATCTCAACAGTATTAGAAGAAGCTAGTGGGAAAGGAAGTCAAGTTGCTTTTCCTTCAGGGGAAGTCACAGACTGGTGGCAATTCAAGAAGAGAGTCCAGTCCAGGCAATCCTTAGACCCTTCCCTTCTCCTTTAAGCCCTGCTTCTCTAAGATCCTGAAAAGCAAGAGCCATCACAAAGATTAGCTTCAATTCTCAGCTCTAGGATATGCTCCTGCAAGTCTGCTTTAGGTAATAAACAGGAAATTCTCCCAACCAATATCCTGCAGCATTAAGGGCTGCTAGTGAGGAATCTTCCATGGTCGTCAAGGACCCACGTGTACATCACGTGATTTGGTCGCCACAACAGCCCCACACCTGTTTCTTCTTTTAGGAGAAGCTCGTGACTAGAGCTCTCAGCGTGTCACGTGGAAGGTCGGGGCAGGCACGTGGAAACCCAGGTTTTCAGGCTCCTCGTGCTGGGCTGGGTCTTATCAAGGCGTTAAACCCTCCGAGGGGGTTTCGGACGTGGCCGCAGCGGTACCTTTTCCACAGGACTGGGTCGCAGTCAGGTTAGGGAATCCCTAACTGCAGAATTCCAGGCCGCTGGGGCTTTATTTGGGTAACGGCGGGCTTTGCCGGAGCGGCTGGAATCACACTGTCGGCCACTTGTTTTGCCTGATCGGGAAGCAGGGCGGGAGGCTCATGCTAACAGTGGTGGCTGGGGGAGGGGAGGCTTGCCAGGTGCCAGGTGCCCACCTCTCACCCTCGTGCCGGCCCTGTGAGCTAGCCGCCTTCACGAGCCCCATTCTACAGAAGGAGAGAGAGAGAGAGCCCCAGGAAGTAGCCCAGGCCACCTGATGCAAAGGTGCTAACGTGCTGCTTATTCACCGCCTGGGGCATAGACTCTCGGAAGGGACCGGGTGCCCTACTTTGTCCCAGTAGAGGTGAGTTTGCTTGTAGCAGAGCAGAATGAACTTTTAAAAGAGAAGCGTCCCCTCGCATACTTCTGCAGTGGAAGGAAAGCTTAGCGATGTTGGCAAAGGAGAGGAGACCCTGGCGAGAGGCAGCCAAAGGAGGCCGCCACCCTGCACGACGAATGCCGCCTCTGGAGCACCCATGTGGCTCCGGGGCCCGGCGGGGCCCGCGGGGCCGGACTCACGTGGGGGATGAGGCGGCAGGAGCGGACCGCGTCGCTGAGGCCCATCCACTGCTGGTAGTCCGGGTAGTCCCCGCGCCGCAGGAAGTACTGGCAGCCCGAGTAGTTGGGCTGCTCATAGAGCATCCAGCAGCCGCTGTCCACGCGCACCGAGTTGCAGCGGCTGAAATAGGGCTGCAGGTTCGGGTGGTCACTGCTGCACTCGTAGTGGCGGCCCTGGAAGCCCGGGTCCTCGTAGAAGGTGATCTGCAAGGCAAGGGGAGGAAAGGCTCAGAGGCCTGGCCCCCAGCCCCGGGGCGCGGGGGCCCCTCCCGGCCTGCGGCTG